GTATACTCCGTAGGGAGTTGAGACTGATAATATGATGTGCCGTTTGAGTTTGACAACCAATGATCCAGGTAAAATCGAAACGCCTTTGATCAGCTGAGCTGGATATTGGCGCTATACAAATGTTATCATAATAGCATAATAATACATGGGTACAGATCCAACATGGGCATAGCTCCAACATGGGCATAGATCCAACATGGGTACAGATCCAGCATGGGTACAGATCCAGCATGGTAACAGATCCAACATGGGCATAGATCAAACATGGGTACAGATCCAACATGGCTACAGATCCATCATGGGTACACATCCAACATGGGCATAGATACAACATGGGCATAGATCCAACATGGGTATAGATCCAACATGGGCATAGTTCTAACATGGGTACAGATCCAACATGGGTACAGATCCAACATGGGTACAGATCCAACATGGGTATAGATACAACATGTGATAGATCCAACATGGGTACACATCCAACATGGGTACAGATCCAACATGGGTACAGATACAACATGGGTACAGATACAACATGGGTACAGATCCAACATGGGTACAGATCCAACATGGGTACAGATCCAACATGAGTACAGATCCAACATGGGTACAAATCCAACATGGGTACAGATCGAACATGGGTACAGATCCAACATGGGTACAGATCCAACATGGGTACAGATACAACATGGTTACAGATCAAACATGGGCTTAGATCAAACATGGGTACACATCCAACATGGGTACAGATCCAACATGGGTACAGATACAACATGGGTACAGATCCAACATGGTTACAGATCCAACATGGGCATAGATCCAACATGGGTATAGATCCAACATGGGCATAGATACAACATGGTTACAGATCCAAAATGGGTACAGATCCAACATGGTTACAGATCCAACATGGGCATAGATCCAACATGGGTACAGATCCAACATGGGCATAGATCCAACATGGGTACAGATCCAACATGGGCATAGATACAACATGGGTACAGATCCAACATGGGTACAGATCCAACATGGGCATAGATCCAACATGGGTATAGATCCAACATGGGTATAGATCCAACATGGGTACAGATCCAACATGGGTACAGATCCAACATGGGTACAGATCCAACATGGGTACAGATCCAACATGGGTACAGATCCAACATGGGTACAGATCCAACATGGGCATAGATCCAACATGGGTACAGATCCAACATGGGCATAGATCCAACATGGGTACAGATCCAACATGGGCATAGATACAACATGGATACAGATCCAACATGGGTACAGATCCAACATGGGCTTAGATCCAACATGGGTATAGATCCAACATGGGCATAGATACAACATGGGTACAGATCTAACATGGGTACAGATCCAACATGGGTACAGATCCAACATGGGTACAGATCCAGACAACATGGGTACAGATCCAACATGGGCATAGATCCAACATGGGTACAGATCCAACATGGGCATAGATCCAACATGGGTACAGATCCAACATGGGTATAGGTCTACCATGGGAACAGATCCAAGCTGGAATATTGCTAAAAACGGCGTAAAACCATAATCACTCACTCACTCCAAATAACATTTTGCATAATCTACAATATTGGTGCAATTATGTTTATCAGATTAAAGGTATGGATAGTATGGATCTTAGTGGACTATCGCTCTGATCTGTTCAAAGTGGAACAAACTCTCGAGCCCCCGATCGATACCTAAGCTGTCCCAGGCGCCTTTTAACGTCAGTAGAACAAGCTTTAACTACTAGGTTACCCCACAGCCCCAATAATATTGGAAACTACCAGAATAGTTGTAGGTGAAGCAGATCTGGATGATTGAGTGTACATGCAGACAAATATGTCATACGATAATATTCATGACCAAACACAAATGTCAAAACATTAATTTTATTTAGTTATAAAATTACTCTGATTAATATATACAGTCTATTTACAATCATGAAAGCTGCATATGTGTAGAAATTACATATTTTATCAATTATCCAATTAATGTTTTAAATACTGTCCTAGTGGATCAACAACGAAAACTGCGACCAGGCTCATCCGACAATGCATTCAAGAAATCACGTTATCGGGTATCAAGAAAATGTGTTTATAACTTAAATAGTTTATGGGTTCATATATCTCATTATGATTAAACCACATGTTGGATTTATTGCATTATATAAGCAGATTTCTAAGATAATCCAAATTTTCACATTTCACATGATTTCACTTAAATCAAACACATAACAAACCAAATTTTCATGTCAAAGTTCCCCATAATTGTTTATAAATCAGTTCAAATATAAGGACGCTTTCAAAACTGAACATGTCACGTCCTTTGCCCCGATGTTTTTTGTTTCACTGAAAAACGCTCACATTAATTCAAAGAGAAGACATGTATGTAACCATCTTGTATGTAACCATGTGGTACAATGTTCACTTAGAATTGTTTTCAGGGTGTTTTCAGCAGAACCTTACCCAGACCCGCACAGCCTGGCGTGTTTTCAGCAGAAAGCTTACCCAGACCCGCACAGCCTGGCGTGTTTTCAGCAGAACGCTTACCCAGACCTGCACAGCCTGGCGTGTTTTCAGCAGAACGCTTACACAGACCTGCACAGCCTGGCGTGTTTTCAGCAGAACGCTTACCCAGACCCGCACAGCCTGGCGTGTTTTCAGCAGAACGCTTACCCAGACCTGCACAGGCTGGCGTGTTTTCAGCAGAACGCTTACCCAGACCTGCACAGCCTGGGTTTTTTTTCAGCAGAACGATTACCCAGACCTGCACAGCCTGGCGTGTATTCAGCAGAACGCTTACCCAGACCTGCACAGCCTGGCGTGTTTTCAGCAGAACGCTTACCCAGACCCGCACAGCCTGGCGTGTTTTCAGCAGAACGCTTACCCAGACCTGCACAGCCTGGCGTGTTTTCAGCAGAACGCTTACCCAGACCCGCACAGCCTGGCGTGTTTTCAGTAGAACGCTTACCCAGACCTGCACAGGCTGGCGTGTTTTCAGCAGAACGCTTACCCAGACCTGCACAGCCTGGGGTTTTTTTCAGCAGAACGATTACTCAGACCCACACAGCCTGGCGTGTTTTCAGCAGAAAGCTTACCCAGACCCGCACAGCCTGGCGTGTTTTCAGCAGAACGCTTACCCAGACCTGCACAACCTGGGATGTTTTCAGCAGAACGATTACCCAGACCCGCACAGCCTGGCGTGTTTTCAGCAGAACGATTACCCAGACCTGCACAGCCTGGGGTGTTTTCCGCAGAACGATTACCCAGACCTGCACAGCCTGGCGTGTTTTCAGCAGAACGCTTACCCAGACCTGCACAGCCTGGCGTGTTTTCAGCAGAACGCTTACCCAGACCTGCACAGCCTGGCGTGTTTTCAGCAGAACGCTTACCCAGACCTGCACAGCCTGGGTTTTTTTTCAGCAGAACGCTTACCCAGACCTGCACAGCCTGGCGTGTATTCAGCAGAACGCTTACCCAGACCTGCACAGCCTGACGTGTTTTCAGCAGAAAGCTTACCCAGACCTGCACAGCCTGGGGTGTTTTCAGCAGAACGCTTACCCAGACCTGCACAACCTGGCGTGTTTTCAGCAGAACGCTTACCCAGACCAGCACAGCCTGGCGTGTTTTCAGCAGAACGATTACCCAGACCCGCACAGCCTGGCGTGTTTTCAGCAGAACGCTTACCCAGACCTGCACAGCCTGGCGTGTTTTCAGCAGAACGCTTACCCAGACCTGCACAGCCCCAGACCTTGCAGACCCACACAGCCTGGCGTGTTTTCAGCAGAACGATTACCCAGACCCGCACAGCCTGGCGTGTTTTCAGCAGAACGCTTACCCAGACCCGCACAGCCTGGCGTGTTTTCAGCAGAACGCTTACCCAGACCTGCACAGCCTGGCGTGTTTTCAGCAGAACGCTTACCCAGACCCACACAGCCTGGCGTGTTTTCAGCAGAACGATTACCCAGACCCGCACAGCCTGGCGTGTTTTCAGCAGAACGCTTACCCAGACCTGCACAGCCTGGCGTGTTTTCAGCAGAACGCTTACCCAGACCTGCGCAGCCTGGCGTGTTTTCACCAGAACGCTTACCCAGACCTGCACAGCCTGGGTTTTTTTTCAGCAGAACGATTACCCAGACCTGCACAGCCTGGCGTGTTTTCAGCAGAAAGCTTACCCAGACCCGCACAGCCTGGCGTGTTTTCAGCAGAACGCTTACCCAGACCTGCACAACCTGGGGTGTTTTCAGCAGAACGATTACCCAGACCCGCACAGCCTGGCGTGTTTTCAGCAGAACGATTACCCAGACCTGCACTGCCTGGGGTGTTTTCAGCAGAACGATTACCCAGACCCGCACAGCCTGGCGTGTTTTCAGCAGAACGCTTACCCAGACCTGCACAGCCTGGGGTGTTTTCAGCAGAACGCTTACCCAGACCCGCACAGCCTGGCGTGTTTTCAGTAGAACGCTTACCCAGACCTGCACAGCCTGGCGTGTTTTCAGCAGAACGCTTACCCAGACCTGCACAACCTGGGATGTTTTCAGCAGAACGATTACCAAGACCTGCACAACCTGGGGTGTTTTCAGCAGAACGATTACCCAGATGGTTACATTCAGTGTGTGGTTAAAGAAAACAAGTGTACAGTTGTACCTGTACTGTAGATGTGAAATACGATGTGTGAAAGTCGGAGAAAGACTAGACTTGTGTCTGTAGATGTGAATTGTGACGAAACAAAGACTAGGTTTGTGTATGTAGATGTGAACATTTGTGATGAGTACTTCTCATCTAAAGGGGCGGTGGGGTAACCCAGTGGTTACAGCGTCCGCTCGTCACGCCGAAGACCCGGGTTCGATTCCCCACAATGTCTGAAGCCCATTTCTGGTGTCCCCCGCCGTGATATTGCTAAATGCGGCGTAAAACTTTACTCACTCACTCACTCTCATCTACAACATCTAATAAAACAACAAGGCAAAATATTTGCAACATGACTTTATAGTATCTGATTCCAAAAACAAAACTGTTTTTGTGCCGACAGCAGGATATAAAAAGTAAGAAACTGTACACACAACGGTGAACCTGCACGCAGTGGTTGCTATAGCAACACACGATCTCTTCCCTGTCAGGTTCTCACTAAACCAAACAAGACGAAAATATACGAAATATGCATGACCGGAGATAAAGACAATTCATTCTTAAAAAATATGGCTGTGTGTTCTAAAGCCAACCTATATACAGGAACATATACATACACTGGACAGGTGGAGTGTCTCGAGAAGACGGTGGGGAGACAGGCCTCTACAGGTAGACCACATCGGTAGTTTGTCTTCACAGTAATTTACTACTCTTCACTGCACAATAAATATTAGCGTCTTGAAATAAATAAGAGACAGATATTTATATAAAACAGTATGTAGTACAGCATCCCTATGTACACCTAACGTTCCAACTAGAACTATCCTACATTGACTAGAAACGGGAGAATGGAATTCAAAGATGTGATCAGAGTGGAGTGTACGTCTTCAGGCGGTCAGGGCCGACACAGGTAGATGGTCACCTGAAAGACAAACCATCAAACGTTCATTGCACATAAATACTACTTCCGTAAATATAACACAAACAGCGAGAGTGATTGACTATTATTCTACGCCGTATCGAGCAACACCCAAGCTGTGTCAGCTGGGAAGACAGCAGACAGGTCGTCCCGTCACTCACTGAACATGGAGAAGTATGCTGAACATAATATGACATGTGTCAGCCAGGTGTGTTCCGCAGAGTCGTGAGACATGAGACATGCACACATCAGTTGCACACACATTACATATACACACTAGATACAACCACACTAGATACAACCACACCAGATACAAACACACCAGATACAACCACACCAGATACAACCACACCAGATACAACCACACTAGATACAACCACACTAGATACAACCACACCAGATACAACCACACCAGATACAACCACACCACCAGATACAACACCACACCAGATACAACACCACCAGATCTACTAGATACAACCACACCAGATACAACCACACCAGATACAACCACCACAGATACAACACCACTAGGATACAAACACACCAGATACAACCACACCAGATACAACCACACTAGATCCTCAGATACAACACCAGATACAACCACACCAGATACAACCACACCAGATACGCACACTAGATACAACCACTCTGGATACAACCACATAGATGCCCAGATACAACCACACTAGATACAACCAGGGGAGGTACAACCAAGATACAACCACAGATACAACCACAAGATACAACCACACCAGATACAACCACACTAGATACAACCACTGTATCATCTTACATTGTCTATGTATCCACGGAAATTGGCAAAATTTGTTCCTCTTCCGATCTGCAAGGCGCAGTTGGCTCTCTGGATATTGCCTGGAGAACAAACAGGGGAGGTAAGTCACAACAAAGACAAGCTATTACAGATGTACCCTTTTTTAACGTGACATTTACCATCAGTTAAACATGACATCAGCTCCACCAAGAGAAACAAAGTGGAAAGAAACTGCAATACGGTTTGCATAGAAAGAACTAAGGCGCGGCACGCCAGCACCTACCCAGGAAGGCTGTTTGTTTGGCCGAAGAACCCACGCTGCCGCTCAGCATCCCAGCGTCCAGCTTAAAGAAAGCCTCGTTCCAACCATTGGTCTGCAACACGTGATACGTACATAAGTAAATATAGCTGGCGTTTTCTGTTGACCTCTAGACAGGGAAACATACTAGAGGCCACTGACATAATTAAACATATACCTGGTGACCTTTGATGAATACTGGTGAACAAAGTATCTGGTTACTACTGACATATACTTGTCAAGGACATGTCTGGTTACTATTGACAGATACTGGTCAACGACATGTCTGTTTACTACTGACATATACTGGTAAACAACATACGTAATGACGACTGACTTACATTGATAATCAAGGGCTGATGACTCAAGAAGCAGACCATCATATCAAGTGACTGTTGTCTTATATTCAGTGATTGTAGACTTTTGCTCATGAACAACAGATCGACTTTTATATAGCTGCTGAACTTTATCCAGACATTGGCATGTATGCTAAGTATCTAGTGCAGATCTCTGTAGGACCCGGACACTCACCGAGCTGCTCACGGACACGCTGGCAGACTTGCCAGCCCCAGAGCGGACACCGAAATACGTTGATGCCGGTCCCCTGGCAACGGAGATGGAGGCGTCCTTGCCGCAGTCGCCATTAGACAGCAGCGCCTGTTTCCTGGTGGCGGAACCTTCACCTCGGTATCTGATTCTGATGTACACAGTGCTGCCTAGCTCCGCATTGGCGAACCTGGGGATCCGTAGGCCACTCTTTCCGTCAAAGTACCCCACGCCGTTCTTCACCTTCACGCCGTCGTTCTGAATGTAGACGCCGCTGTCGGACTTGTCGCCAACGTCGTCGATGAATGATAGGTACACGTCCGGTTTGCAAGCTGGCAAATATGGTAAAATAACATGATAATTACAGTACTTCCGGGCGATGTCGTGATGGTTTGGGTGAACGTTTTAGATGAATGAGAGGACGGGGCTATTTCTGGGAAGCAGAAGGAAGGTATTTAAGTACGGAGCCATCTGTTGGCGAGTCAAGGAAAGACGAATGATTTGTTTGAGTGGCATTCTAGAAGTTGGTGGTATAGAGATGACACAACTTTATGGATGATCAACTTCTTTATTTTCACAAAGGCGACGTTTCGGTATAGATTCTTATACCATTTTCAAGCATTAGATTCTTATATCGTTTTCAAGCATATAGATTCATATATCGTTTTCAAGCATATAGATTCATATACGTTTATCAAGCATATAGATCCTTATACCGTTTTCAAGCATATGCATAAGAATCTATACCGAAACGTCGCCAATGTCAAAATATAGAAGTTGATCATCCATAACAGTTTGCCTTCTCTAAGGAAAGACAAGACTATCTGATGGGTGTTCAGGGGGAAATAAACTTGACACTTACTGTCAGGAGCAACGACCCCGCCCTGTATAGAGCACCTGCATTCAGTAGAGTTATAACTACTTCCGGGAGCACAGGTCATGGTGATCCATCCGTGACCTTTAACGAACTGTTGGAATCGAGTTCTGTCCCCTGATATCGGTCGCTTGTCGCAGGCACCTGAAAGCAGAGGAGACTTTAAGACTGGGGGATAATGTCTTGGTCTCGGAGGACTCCAGACATCAGAGATTAGCATGGTGTACGTTGGAGAACCGACTTTACTTGAATCAAATAGGGCACCAACAAGTTAAGGTAATATATATATCAGGCCCCAATATCTACTTCCCCGGTTAAGATGTGGGCGATACATACCCTGACCACCATCCCCCTTGCAAGGAGTAGTGCACGTGGTGCTTGGGACGCAGTAGCCGGCGATGCTGTAGGCCTGACCCGCAGGGCAACACCTGCCTTTGGACACGCCCCCAACACACTGCCAGTATCCGCTGCAGGTCGTGGCGCTGGGGTAGGTCGTCGTCATGGGGTCGTTGCACCGCTCTGGAGACACAAGTATGTAACTGAGCTGGTAGTTTCTACACATGTTCAATAATTCCCTTGAACTTTTCACACATACATGAATATGTCACACAAGATAATGTACTGACAGCGTCTACCCACAACCTCCCAACAAAGTCCTATGTGCTGTTACATAGAAGTCAGGTCATACCGATAGTAGCAGGTGCTAGGTTTGTCATACTGATAGTAACAGGTGCTAGGTATGTCATACTGATAGTAGCAGCTGCTAGGTTTGTCATACTGATAGTAGCAGGTGCTAAATATGTCATACTGATAGTAGCAGGTGCTAAATATGTCATACTGATAGTAGCAGGTGCTAGGTATGTCATACTGACAGTAGCAGGTGCTAAATATGTCATACTGATAGTAGCAGGTGCTGGATATGTCATACTGATAGTAGCAGGTGCTGGATATGTCATACTGACAGTAGCAGGTGCTAAATATGTCATACTGATAGTAGCAGGTGCTGGATATGTCATACTGATAGTAGCAGGTGCTGGATATGTCATACTGATAGTAGCAGGTGCTGGATATGTCATACTGATAGTAGCAGGTGCTGGGTATGTCATACTGATAGTAGCAGGTGCTGGATATGTCATACTGATAGTAGCAGGTGCTAGGTATGTAATACTGACAGTAGCAGGTGCTAAATATGTCATACGGATAGTAGCAGGTGCTGGATATGTCATACTGATAGTAGCAGGTGCTGGATATGTCATACTGACAGTAGCAGGTGCTAAATATGTCATACTGATAGTAGCAGGTGCTAGGTATGTCATACTGTATGATGATGTGTGATTATCACTCACCAGCTGGACAGTTGACCTCCTCGGGCCTGTTGCAGGTCAGCTTGTCCTGGTCCCAGTACAAGCCATGAGGACATTCCATCTCCTCCACCTTGATCAGTTGGTTGTTGTCGAACATGCACTGAATGTACTTGTTGCAGTCGCTGGGGTGGGGGTTGTAGCCGATGCCGTTGTCCATCTTGCAGTCGTTGCAAAGGCCTGGGGACAGACAGACATAAAGTGTTGTTAAAACAAACGTTTTCTGTGTAGTAAACACAATATAAATTTACATATCCATGTAGGTAGTAAACACACTGTGACTGTTGTTTATGTAATCAATATAGGTAGTAAACACTGTTGTTTATGTAATCAATATAGGTAGTAAACACTGTTGTTTATGTAATCAATATAGGTAGTAAACACTGTTGTTTATGTAATCAATATAGGTAGTAAACACTGTTGTTTATGTAATCAATATAGGTAGTAAACGCTGTTGTTTATGTAATCAATATAGGTAGTAAACACATACCCAGATCTGGCTTCTCTGTAGTCGTCACTGGAAAAGAATACAATACTATTATTTATTGTTTTAATTTATCAGAAGTGAGAACGTACTCCAGTTTAATGCTTTGGGGGAGTCCCTGATCGTGACATTACGCGGCAATGGCGTACACTCGGGAACTCAACATTGCATTTGTTCTCTATGGGGCATTCAAGGTACAGACAGTACAATAATGCAGATATGTACATCAAGATGAAGTTCCACTATTGCTTAATACATTGCAAAATAATTGTGATAAATTGTGCTGAAGGTTTACGATCCTGTATTGAACCAAATGTTTAGGATACTGGACCACATTAGACGTTCTGGTGGAGCAGAACAGCCTTTCACGTGGGGCACACAGCACCACATGGTCTATACACAATGAAGCCAAAACCTTCCCAGTATTACAGCTGGAGGTACGAGTAGGAAGTCACACGGTTGCTATTACATATCAATGGGGTTTAGTTCTTGTACAAATTGATGGGCTTTGGTGCTGGTATATAACACTGGGGTTTAGTGCAAGATAAAATACTGTATTTAAGTGCCAGTATAGTTGGGGTGACAAACCTGGGCATTGCTGTGTGTTGCACGCACGAGTGACGATCTCCCTGGGTTCTCCCACACAGTCGCTGCCCCCGGAGCTAGGGGCGGGGTTGGTGCAGCTTCTCATCCTCACGACTGTCTGACTTCCACCGCCACAGGTCAGCGAACAAGCACCTGCTGCTTCCGTCCACTCCGTCCAGGCACCGTCCACTACAGACAACAACATGCATCATGGGTATCACAACATCTGGATAGTGACAGATTATAATTTATTGTGATAATCTTAAAGCAGAGATTATAATCATGTGGTTTCCTCTTGGGCATGTGGCGTTGATTGTTAACGGTTTTGAGGCGTATGTATCGTGAAAGCTGAATATATATGTCCGTATGTTATCTATTGAAATGAGTACCTGGGCATCCCTGGGTGTTACATGATTGTGTGAATGTAGTTCTGGCATCTCCAACACAGTATTGTCCGTTATAGGCAGGGGCGGGGTTTGTGCAGGTTCTGGTTCTGGTCACAAGTTGAGATCCTCCACCACAGGACACAGAACACTGAGCTACATCGTCCGTCCACTCGCTCCAACCTCCGTCAACTGCGGACCAAGTATGACCTCCATGTTCATCCATTATTGAATATTTGCAATTTATAGTTCATCATTCTCTTTAAGTCTAGGAAAGTTTCCTTTTTAACTAAAGGAGTACGTGTCTCACACGAAGTATTATTTCTAAAAAATGTAAAGATGAAGGCTGTATTTATTCGACCTCTTGAATCAGCATCAACATGGCTGCCCCTGCGACCACGTGACGAGCTGGGAGTGGGCAGCCACACCCCGTTACCGTAGGTATCAGTATGTATGCCCACGGTAAGTTGGACACATTTAGTTCGGAAATATCGATCTGACAAAAATCTACAATATGTTCAATGTGCTAGATACCTGGGCATCCCTGGGTGTTACACGCTTGTGTGAATGTAGTTCTGTCATCTCCAACACAGTACTGGCCGTTATAGGCAGGGGCGGGGTTTGTGCAGGTTCTGGTTCTAGTCACAAGTTGAGTTCCTCCACCACAGGACACAGAACACTGAGCTACAGTGTCCGTCCACAGACTCCAACCTCCGTCAACTGGGGACAGAATGTGATATCAACTTTACTGTGTATAGAGAAGGACAAACATAAAACAAGTGACGTCATCAACCACAGCATTATGAAGCATACGCACCACCAGGTAGTGCCCGGCTATATTCTAGCATTTTGACATCGTTTTAAAGCTTTCAACAATATACAACTAACATTTTGACATCGTTTTAAAGCTTTCAACAATATACAAATATAAAACATGTTCTCCAACAAGTACCTGGGCATCCATGTGTGTTGCATGCCTTAGTGGATGTAGTTCTGTCATCTCCAACACAGTATTGTCCGTTAAAGGCAGGAGCGGGGTTTGTGCAGGTTCTGGTGCTGGTGACAACTAGAGTTCCTCCACCACAGGACACAGAACATTCAGATTCAGTATCCGTCCACAGACTCCAACCTCCGTCAACTGGGGACACAGACGATACATACAGTATACGTTGACAGCAAACGTGAGCACTACAGCTTTCAAGTGACAAGTGACGAAATTATAATGGCTAGACCCAAAATACATTTAACATTCTTTTAGTAAAGTATCCAGGTCCAACGTTAGATCTTTTGTACTGTTTCTTCTAGTGACGAATGTTTCTGATGTTACTTGTAGTGACGAATGTTTCTACTGTAACTTGTAGTGACGAATGTTTCTGATGTTACTTGTAGTGACGAATGTTTCTGATGTTACTTGTAGTGACGAATGTTTCTGATATTACTTGTAGTGACGAATGTTTCTACTGTTACTTGTAGTGACGAATGTTTCTGATGTTACTTGTAGTGACGAATGTTTCTACTGTTACTTGTAGTGACGAATGTTTCTGCTGTTACTTGTAGTGACGAATGTTTCTGCTGTTACTTGTAGTGACGAATGTTTCTGATGTTACTTGTAGTGACAAATGTTTCTGATGTTACTTGTAGTGACAAATGTTTCTGATGTTACTTGTAGTGACGAATATTTCTGATGTTACTAGTAGTGACGAACATTTCTGATGTTACTTGTAGTGACGAATGTTTCTACTGTTACTTGTAGTGACGAATGTTTCTGCTGTTACTTGTAGTGACGAATGTTTCTGATGTTACTTGTAGTGACAAATGTTTCTGATGTTACTTGTAGTGACAAATGTTTCTGATGTTACTTGTAGTGACGAATATTTCTGATGTTACTAGTAGTGACGAACATTTCTGATGTTACTTGTAGTGACGAATGTTTCTACTGTTACTTGTAGTGACGAATCTTTCTGCTGTTACTTGTAGTGACCAATGTGTCTGATGTTACTTGTAGTGACAAATGTTTCTGATGTTACTTGTAGTGACAAATGTTTCTGATGTTACTTGTAGTGACAAATGTTTCTGATTTTACTTGTAGTGACAAATGTTTCTGATGTTACTAGTAGTGACGAATATTTCTGATGTTACTTGTAGTGACGAATGTTTCTGCTGTTACTTGTAGTGACGAATGTTTCTGCTGTTACTTGTAGTGACAAATGTTTCTGATGTTACTTGTAGTGACAAATGTTTCTGATGTTACTTGTAGTGACGAATATTTCTGATGTTACTAGTAGTGACGAATGTCTTCACTGTCAAAGTGAAGGTGCAGTCACTACTATGTTTAACGCTCCTGTCAGCCACTGCCGCACTTCGCATCCAACTACAAGGGAAGGCTCAATTCCTGGAGCACACACGATGTCGGCACCAGCCTGGGCACCCCTCGGCGTTACACGCCAGAAAACTTCACATTAAGTTTAATGTACTAGGTACCTGGGCATCCCTGGGTGTTACACGCTTGTGTGAATGTAGTTCTGTCATCTCCAACACAGTACTGGCCGTTATAGGCAGGGGCGGGGTTTGTGCAGGTTCTGGTTCTAGTCACAAGTTGAGATCCTCCACCACAGGTCACAGAACACTGAGCTACAGTGTCCGTCCACAGACTCCATCCTCCGTCAACTGGGGACACAAAGGCAACACTTTAAAGATACAGTCTTATATTAAATCGATGATTTCTGTCTGATAGTATGGGCGCTAGTGGGGACCAGTCTAATTGATAAGCTAGAAAGTCCCTGGAGAATATATCACGGTTTAGACATACTGTCTAACACGGTACAGACTGTCACAGAACCCGCTGAATGGACGGTGGACACATTTGAGTTTTTTCGTTGGTATATCATATCACTTGCAGTCTGTCTGGACTTTTGTTGGGTTGAGTCCCATCCGGGATTCGAACCCACGCCCACAGAGTCAGGGGTACACAAAGTCCGTAGTCAAGACTACCAGTTGTCCTACTTCCATTTTTCTGGAAGCCTCGGTGGCGGAGAGGGTTGGACGGCTGACTTTGTGTGCTGGCGATGAGGTGCTTGACCCTGACGGTGTGGGTTCGAATCCCGGACGGGACTTAACACAACAAAAGTACCAGAATCTCAAATATAACATGTGGTACATTTGACCTCTTTCTAAATGGCATTGTGTGTTCACGTCTGTAAGCGATTTCATAACATGAACATATCAATAATAGACTACATAACTTCAATGGACCTTTAGTCAGTCTCTTCTTGTCATGACTCTCCTTTGAATAGCGAGTGCATGGTGAGGAATAGGGCGGCAGCAACTATGTCAACTAATATCACAATGAAAACAGTCATCGTCTTGTCACGTGTTCGAGGTTATCAAGTTTATAGCTAACACTGTACACAGATGTCCAACTCTAACATCGGATACAGGCATCCAACTCTAACACCTTATACAGGCATCCAACTCTAACACCTTATACAGGCATCCAACTCTAACACCTTATACAGGCATCCAACTCTCACACCTTATACAAGCATCCAACTCTAATACCTTATACAGGCATCCAACTCTAACACCTTATACAGGCATCCAACTCTAACACCTTATACAGGCATCCAACTCTAATACCTTATACAGGCATCCAACTCTAACACCTTATACAGGCATCCAACTCTAACACCTTATACAGGCATCCAACTCTAACACCTTATACAGGCATCAAACTCTAACACCTTATACAGGCATCCAACTCTAACACCTTATACAGGCATCCAACTCTAACACCTTATACAGGCATCCAACTCTAATACCTTATACACATTTCTAACATCAAAAACCGTATATTGTGTTATCGATTCAATGTAAACAGAACGAACCTGGGCATCCATGTGTGTTGCACGCCTTAGTGGATGTAGTTCTGTCATCCCCAACACAGTATTGTCCATTAAAGGCAGGAGCGGGGTTTGTGCAGGTTCTGGTGCTGGTGACAACTAGAGTTCCTCCACCACAGGACACAGAACACTCAGATTCAGTGTCCGTCCACAGGCTCCAACCTCCGTCAACTGCGGCTACAGAAAATGCAATAAATATAAAACAAGTCCAATTCAAAAGATGTATTTTCGTGTTTGTGAATAATTGCGGAGCTCTCAGGAATACTGTATCATATTTACAACTTTGAACATTAATTATAAAGAGAAGCAAGGAAACAAGATTTTTATATTTTAACTGACAACATTTTAATGAGACTATGTAAATCTAAACGATAGCACAAGTTTGGCAAAATATGTTCCATATTACATGTATTTTATACCTGGGCAACCCTGGGTGTTACATGCTTGTGTGAATGTAGTTCTGTCATCTCCAACACAGTACTGGCCGTTATAGGCAGGGGCGGGGTTTGTGCAGGTTCTGGATCTAGTTACAATTTGAGTTCCTCCACCACAGGACACAGAACACTGAGCTACAGTGTCCGTCCACATACTCCAACCTCCGTCAACTGGGGACAGAAACGGAAAGGTCAAATGAAGTCAATGAGATATGAAACGAAAGTTTGTTTCAGTCGTGTAATGATCTGATGTATGCTGATTCCAGTAATGAAACCATTTGTGGCAAGAAGAACGACAAAATGTCTTTCATCACCATTTTCCGTAATGTCTGATATTTGCGTGTTGTGTTCGTCTGAAGGTTGCGGACTGTGTGATATTTGCGTGTTGTGTTCGTCTGAAGGTAGCGGACTGTGTGATATTTGCGTGTTGTGTTCGTCTGAAGGTAGCAGACTGTGTGAAGGTAGCAGTGTTGACTGTGTGATATTTGCGTGTTGTGTTCGTCTGAAGGTAGCGGACTGTGTGATATTTGCGTGTTGTGTTCGTCTAAAGGTAGCAGACTGTGTGATATTTGCGTGTTGTGTTCGTCTGAAGGTAGCGGACTGTGTGATATTTGTGTGTTGTGTTCGTCTGAAGGTAGCGGACTGTGTGATATTTGCGTGTTGTGTTCGTCTGAAGGTTGCGGACTGTGTGATATTTGCGTGTTGTGTTCGTCTGAAGGTAGCAGACTGTGTGATATTTGCGTGTTGTGTTCGTCTGAAGGTAGCGGACTGTGTGATAATTGCGTGTTGTGTTCGTCTGAAGGTAGCGGACTGTGTGATATTTGCGTGTTGTGTTCGTCTGAAGGTTGCGGACTGTGTGATATTTGCGGGTTGTGTTCGTCTGAAGGTAGCAGACTGTGTGATATTTGCGTGTTGTGTTCGTCTGAAGGTTGCGGACTGTATGATATTTGCGTGTTGTGTTCGTCTGAAGGTAGCAGACTGTGTGATATTTGCGTGTTGTGTTCGTCTGAAGGTAGCGGACTGTCTGATATTTGTGTGTTGTGTTCGTCTGAAGGTAGCGGACTGTGTGATATTTGCGTGTTGTGTTCGTCTGAAGGTTGCGGACTGTGTGATATTTGCGTGTTGTGTTCGTCTGAAGGTAGCAGACTGTGTGATATTTGCGTGTTGTGTTCGTCTGAAGGTAGCGGACTGTGTGATAATTGCGTGTTGTGTTCGTCTGAAGGTAGTGGACTGTGTGATATTTGCGTGTTGTGTTCGTCTGAAGGTTGCGGACTGTGTGATATTTGCGTGTTGTGTTCGTCTGAAGGTAGCAGACTGTGTGATATTTGCGTGTTGTGTTCGTCTGAAGGTAGCGGACTGTCTGATATTTGTGTGTTGTGTTCGTCTGAAGGTTGCGGACTGTCTGATATTTGCCTGTTGTTTAAGTATGTAGGTTTAGGGCTGCCATGTACAGCTCCTGTGGTTCCTTCGGCAATATGTCACGTGACGCCATGTTACTGAAGTATGCAAGCTGTTGGAACATGCATGTACGGTAACTGAACAGTAAAATTATGATGAAATGTTTGATATCCAGCATCAGTCTAAAAACGTAACAATATGTATCCATATAAAAGTGAAAGAAGATGAAACGCTAAACGTTGCGTGATAATAGTAGCTGTAGCTATTTGTAAATGACGTGCTGTAGTCAACTCGTCTCACCGAGACTCAAGTACCTGGGCATCCCTGGGTGTTACACGCTTGTGTGAATGTAGTTCTGTCATCTCCAACACAGTACTGGCCGTAATAGGCAGGGGCGGGGTTTGTGCAGGTTCTGGTTCTAGTCACAAGTTGAGATCCTCCACCACAGGACACAGAACACTGAGCTACAGTGTCCGTCCACAGACTCCAGCCTCCGTCAACTGGGTACACAAGAAAGTTAGCGGTGCAGATACAGCAGTACAGGACGCAGCTCTCTGTATGTGTTGGTATTACTTCTATACTTCAATATATAAGAGACCCTTAACACATGGTATACATCGACACAGATTTATAGGATCTACCAGCATGCCAGGTATATTGTGCCAGGTATAAATGTTGACACGATATATAAATACATTGTGCCTATATCATGCATGACTATCTATGGCTACATGTGTTCCTGGGACACTACACGCCGTCACACAGACATAACTGAGGAAGTGAGTTGTCAGATTCAGTAAGTAAAGAGTGAAAGAAGTTTTCTTCTGAAGCTGAGAGAAATAGTATACATTATATATGATATTTAAATGGGATTGTGACTGACTGACTGACTGAGTTTGGTTTTACGCCGCTTTTAGCAATATTCCAGCAATATCACGGCGGGGGACACCAGAAATGGGCTTCACACATTGTGCCCATGTGGGGATTCGAACCCGGGTCTTCGGCGTGACGAGCCAACGCTTTAACCATTAGGCTACCCAACCGCCCCCAAATGGGATTGTGAAACGCCTCTGAGTGTTAGGTAGGGAAGATCTACTTTCCTGGGGTTAAAGTTTTCCTGGGTTTAAACTGAATCATTTCATTACCTGTAACTACACACAAAGTGTTTCATGGATACGATATTCCAGGTACCTAGTGAGATATCATGTTTTCTCTCAACTGGTTCACACAGGGTTGTAGTGTGCTTCATCATGGCACATACACCGAACACAGTGTTGGGCTGGTATCTACGTAATGTCTACTTAACAAGTTTCATGTACCTGGGCATCCCTGGGTGTTACACGCTTGTGTGAATGTAGCTCTGTCATCTCCAACACAGTACTGGCCGTTATAGGCAGGGGCGGGGTTTGTGCAGGTTCTGGTTCTAGTCACAAGTTGAGATCCTCCACCACAGGACACAGAACACAGAGCTACAGTGTCCGTCCACAGACTCCAACCTCCGTCAACTGGGGACACACATCATCGAGGTAAATATAAGGAATTTTGTTCCCCAAAATGTAAAACTTACGATTTGTTTTTCAGTTGAGGATATTTGACTCATTGTACTTAAACTGTTATTTATAATACAGCACGCATCCCTTCAGAAACGTTTAGTCATAGGCATTACAGGTGTAACTTGTTGTTTCAAAAGGTAAATACCTGGGCACCCCTGGGTGTTACACGCTTGTGTGAATGTAGTTCTGTCATCTCCAACACAGTACTGGCCGTTATAGGCAGGGGCGGGGTTTGTACAGGTTCTGGTTCTAGTCACAAGTTGAGATCCTCCACCACAGGACACAGAACACAGAGCTACAGTGTCCGTCCACAGACTCCAACCTCCGTCAACTGGTCGCAAAATAGTCTACATTCAGATACTGGCCAAGAATATTTACTACAATGATCAATTTGGTAGTTTGGTATAACGATTAATGTCGAGGTTGTAAGAAGTTAGTGACAAGGCTATCTTCGTCTTTTTTCCTACAAATTAAAGGTGAATATTTCGAACATGATATTAATCTAGATTAAAAAGCAATTTCATTGTTTTATGGTCTCATTACCATTGTTTACTGATTGCAACAGCTCGGTCTTAAGTTATTCCCAAGGAAACAGTCGGCAACACAATACCTGGGCATCCCTGGGTGTTACACGCTTGTGTGAATGTAGTTCTGTCATCTCCAACACAGTACTGGCCGTTATAGGCAGGGGCGGGGTTTGTACAGGTTCTGGTTCTAGTCACAAGTTGAGATCCTCCACCACAGGTCACAGAACACTGAGCTACAGTGTCCGTCCACAGACTCCAGCCTCCGTCAACTGGGGACAGGGATATTTCAATGATGACAAGGGACACTATCCACGTGGACCTAAATACTCATCATCATCATCATCACACATGTGGCGGTCACGTATATCGTTACCTCAGTCAGCTCATGGACTCAATATACATCACTAGATATCGTTTTATGCATAACTAGATATGGTTGATTAAATATGGCTGCTATAGGTCACTAGATATGTCTGCTATACGTCACTAGATATGGCTGTTATACGTCACTAGATATGGCTGCTATACGTCACTAGATATGGCTGCTATACGTCACTAGATATGGCTGTTATACGTCACTAGATATGGCTGCTATACGTCACTAGATATGGCTGCTATACGTCACTAGATATGGCTGTTATACGTCACTAGATATGGCTGCTATACGTCACTAGATATGGCTGTTATACGTCACTAGATATGGCTGTTATACGTCACTAGATATGGCTGCTATACGTCACTAGATATGGCTGTTATACGTCACTAGATATGGCTGCTATACGTCACTAGATATGGCTGCTATACGTCACTAGATATGGCTGCTATACGTCACTAGATATGGCTGCTATACGTCACTAGATATGGCTGTTATACGTCACTAGATATGGCTGCTATACGTCACTAGATATGGTTGCTATACGTCACTAGATATGGCTGCTATACGTCACTAGATATGGCTGTTATACGTCACTAGATATGGCTGTTATACGTCACTAGATATGGCTGCTATACGTCACTAGATATGGCTGCTATACGTCACTAGATATGGCTGCTATACGTCACTAGATATGGCTGTTATACGTCACTAGATATAGTTGCTATACGTCACTAGATATGGCTGTTATACGTCACTAGATATGGCTGTTATACGTCACTAGATATGGCTGCAATATTCACTAGACATAATGTTGCATACATCAGCGGACACATACCTGGACACCCGTGCGTGTTGCATTCGACTGTCAGGGTCACCAAGGCGTCACCGACGCAGTACAAGCCGCCATTTGCAGGGGAAGGGTTGGTGCACGTTCTGGTGCGCGTGATGACCTGTAACCCACCCCCACAAAACACTGAGCATGCGCCGTACGAATCGGCCCAGTGGGTCCACCCTCCTTGAACTGAAGAAGAAGAAAAACAGACATATAACATCACTGTATCGACCACCAAAACATCACTGTATCGATTACCAAAACATCACTGTATCAATCACCAGGAGAATGTGCAAACTATAGGCACCGTGTATCAACATACACACATGAGATATGAGAGCAACATCGCTGTTGAACAGTAGTCAAGGCCAAGCACTTTACACCTATACATCCCGGTTGTAAAAGTCCCTGACGAGAGCGGTTCGCACATCAAGCAGCGCTATGAGAGCGCTGTGACAGCGGGCACACTTACAATCACGTGATTGACTGGTGTGTTCAGGGTATGGCGGCACTCGCTCACAAAACACCGACGTACGTCACCGTGACGACCGACGAGGAGGCAGGAAATGCTACATGTAACAAATTACACTGAAGTAATATATGTAAAACATTGTTAGGCCGTTTACCTCGGCGACAGCTCACTGACAGCAGAGGATTGTCAACTGACGTTTATGGGAAATATATCACCTGTTTATTGTGCCCGCGATACCTTGTTCACATGTAAACATTTCATGAAGCTATTTCAGAGGAAGATCAAATGATGACAACAATTACTGATATAGATAGATCCACCATGTCCACCAAAGACGTGCATTGAGGTGTGTACATCCCTCCCTCCAGTACACCCCTCCAGTACACCCCTCTAGTACATCCCTCCCTCCAGTACACCTCTCTAGTACATCCCTCCAGTACATCCCTCCAGTACATCCCTCCCTCCAGTACATACCTCCAGTACGTCCCTCCCCCCAGTACACCTCTCTAGTTCATCCCTCACCTCCAGTACACCCTCCAGTACACCCTCTAGTACATCCCTCCCTCCAGTACACCGCTCTAGTACATTCGTCTCTTCCAGTACACCCCTCCAGTACGTCCCTCCCCACCATGCCTTCAGTTCATCCCTCATATTCCCGGACACAAGAAAATCTTTGATGTCGTCATGTGAATCACGAGTTACTATTTATAAAAGGGGTCACGTGACGTCAGTCCTGATCCCCTTTTTAAGATCACGACCAGGGCATGGGTCATCTATCACCCCGCTGCTGAGTTGGCCGCCTTCATCCATTACACGTGTCATGTGCAGCGCTACAAAGGAACTTTGGAGGCTCGGCTGGCATCACATCAGTTTGAAATAAGAATTTAATCCACGTGGTCAGTGGCCCCCGTCTTACTGTCTGATTGTTATGTAAGAAGTTGATTCTTTCTCCTATCTGAGAAAGTCGAACCTTTCTCATAGTGACACCACGGAATATATCAGTATTTGCTGCCCCTAAAGACAGCATAGCATTTCAGCTGTCATAACTCCCGTACTTTACATCTACCTCTGATGGCCCAGCACTATAGCTGTCACAACTTCTGTACTTTACATCTCCCTCTGATGACCCAACACTATAGCTGTCGTAACTCCTGTACTTTACATCTCCCTCTGATGACCCAGCACTATAACTGTCATAACTCCTGTACTTTACATCTCCCTCTGATGGCCCAACACTATAGCTGTCGTAACTCCTGTACTTTACATCTCCCTCTGATGGCCCAACACTATAGCTGGCATAACTCCTGTACTTTACATCTCCCTCTGATGGCCCAACACTATAGCTGTCATAACTCCTGTACTTTACATCTCCCTCTGATAACCCAGCACTATAGCTGTCATAACTCCTGTACTTTACATCTCCCTCTGATGACCCAGCACTATAGCTGTCATAACTCCTGTACTTTACATCTCCCTCTGATGGCCCAACACTATAGCTGTCATAACTCCTGTACTTTACATCTCCCTCTGATAACCCAGCACTATAGCTGTCATAACTCCTGTACTTTACATCTCCCTCTGATGACCCAGCACTATAGTTGTCGTAACTCTTGTACTTTACATCTCCCTCTGATGACCCAGCACTATAGTTGTCGTAACTCCTGTACTTTACATCTCCCTCTGATGACCCAGCACTATAGCTGTCATAACTCTTGTACTTTACATCTCCCTCTGATGGCCCAGCACTATAGCTGTCATAACTCCTGTACTTTACATCTCCTCTGATGGCCCAGCACTATAGCTGTCATAACTCCTGTACTTTACATCTCCCTCTGATGACCCAGCACTATAGCTGTCATAACTCCTGTACTTTACATCTCCCTCTGATGGCCCAGCACTATAGCTGTCATAACTCCTGTACTTTACATCTCCCTCTGATGGCCCAGCACTATAGCTGTCATAACTCCTGTACTTTACATCTCCCTCTGATGGCCCAGCACTATAGCTGTCATAACTCCTGTACTTTACATCTCCCTCTGATGGCCCAGCACTATAGCTGTCATAACTCCTGTACTTTACATCTCCCTCTGATGGCCCAGCACTATAGCTGTCATAACTCCTGTACTTTACATCTCCCTCTGATGGCCCAACACTATAGCTGTCACAACTCCTGTACTTTACATCTCCCTCTGATGACCCAGCACTACAGCTGTCATAACTCCTGTACTTTACATCTCCCTCTGATGACCCAGCACTATAGCTGTCATAACTCCTGTACTTTACATCTCCCTCTGATGACCCAGCACTATAGCTGTCACAACTCCTGTACTTTACATCTCCCTCTGATGGCTTACATCTCACTCCGGAAGCCAAGCACTAAAATCTGTGTCTGAATCAGTCCCCGGGGCTCACTTCGGGGTCACCAGTTAAGCGGTGTCTGACCCTTGCATCCATGACGCCAACTGTTCCTATTTGAACGTAACCAGACTGTTTTAAAGATTCTGTCTAATGAGTTAAATAACGTCAACTGCATGTCTGACACGGAGGTTGACCTACCTGGACACACTCGCTTGAACAACTGGCTCATTAGCCCGTCCAGTTGCTGGAACTGAGCTACCGTCAGCACGTGATCTGAACCGGAAGCGATGGACTGAAGTTCCATGATATCTGTGCTCAATCCTACCCCCACAGCAAACATGTTGACTCCAAGCAGCTTGGACACTCTGGCTGCCTGGGCGGTGGCGCCAGGGTTCTTCGACATCCCGTCGGTGATGACTACTGCCACCTTGGGGACGCCAGGGCGCGCATACCGCTGTAACATGATGTTCATGGCGCTGATGCCGTCAGCGGTGTTTGTGCCGTCACGGGGATGGTCTAACTGACTAATCTGACGTCTCAGATAGGCCCTGTCCCCGCTGAGGTTAATGACGGCGGAGATGTTAGTGCTGTAGAGGACGACACCGAAACGTTGATTGTTGTCGTTGATGTTCAGCTGGTCGACCATTGAAAGGAGAGTATGCTTCAGAGTCTGGAAGTCGATGGTGGAGATGCTGTCCGAGCCGTCGACAACGGCTACAATCTCCAGGAGTTCCTGGCAGTCTGGAATGGCAAGGTGCCAACAAACATCAGACAACTGGTTCCAGAACAGTGACTACATTAGCGGATGTAATATGGCACTTCAACAACGCTTCAGGAACTCTGCTAATGACAAATATTTAGATCTGTCACTGGTGCCTAACAAGACCTATGTTATTCTTCAACACATATGAGACTCTGTAAGAAAAATGTTGGAGCCATATAAAACTCACAATTACTGGAATCTGACAAACACAACGAAATATTATAGGATAAGTGAAAATTGAACAAGCTAGAACTCCCGACACACTGTCTTCTAAACCAACCATCGGTCAGGCATATCACTCACTCACTCACTCCACTCACCTGATGGGGTCAGATTGATTCCGCCGCCGAGGACAGTCTCGGCAGAGTTATCACCGTCACCAACGACAACTGTCTCCCCAGGGTAGATAACTCGGACTTGATTTTCTCCACTGTCTCCAGAGTCGCCTCCCATTACTCCGATTGTTGGTGAAGGTACATGTTCCCCGCTATCGCCGGAGTCTCCCCCTGTTGTTACAGAAACAGGCACTTGTTCCTCGCTGTCGTCAGAATCACTTCCTGTTGTTGCAGTCGAGTGGACGTTTTCCCCGCTGTCATACGAGTCTCCACCAGTAGATGCAGTAGAGGGCACATGTTCGTCACTATAGTCATAGTAGTCACCGACCGGCGATACATGGTGTTCCTCGCTAGAAGACCGGGTGGGTAGCGGGTAGACGACAGCTGGCTGCTCCACGGAGCTGTCTCCGCCGGACATGAAGCTGCCAGTCCTCTGATTCGTGTACTGGTACAAGTTGGGGGACACGCCACCCGAGACGAAAGTGTTGGTGGGGTGCACGCCCGGGTACCAGTTACCCTGTACCCCGCCCATCTCCTGGCTTGACCGCCCTCCTGATGACCCGGGGTACATGGGGTAACCTTGGTTACCTACGTTCCCATAGTTAGCAGGGTAACCTTGAATAAGCGGGTTTCCGTAATTGACAGGGTAACCCTGGTAGTTTCCTGATTGGCCGGTTTGACCAGTGCCGTAGTACATGTTCCCTTGGTAACCGAACCCGCCCGCCACCTCTCCGCTGTCGCCTCCACCTGCGATCAAAGAACACTTGTCAGCAACATCAATGCAACGTCATCTCAAAGCATTCCATCCCGACATATATTCTGTAATTAGACCACGATCCCGCACGATTAGCATGTCTAGGCCTGTCAGTGATTTCATCATCTACAGATGGATATCATTAATGCCATGTTTCATTCACAAAGTGTGTTTACTGTTGCTCCAACTAGTCTACAGTCATTCGACGACCTACTCAACAATACTCAATATGATCCATATACAGACACATCGATACTCGTGCTAATGTGGCTCGACCGATTCATGTAGCTGATATTAATTACTTCCCAGCTACTCAGGACCGTATCGTCCATCCCGGGAGAGAGTAGGATTAGCTTCTGTTGTCACCATCCGTCACGACAAGCCACTACAACATCTCCCCATGTTACTACATGCGACCTGAGGAAGTCGCCCCCCCCCCCCCCTCCCCGTCAACTACTGACCGTCGATGTATGGGAACACAACACTCTCCATCACGTCCCAGACGTTGCAGACAAACTAGCGTTACTTAGTGCTGAGTGTAGTGACAGTGTCATCAACTGGTGACCATTCCTTAAACAGTTGCTGAGACGGGCGAGGTTTGGTGTATACCTGCTGGGTGCAATCGATGACCCCCTTAATGCAATGGATGCCACAGATGTGTGTGTCTGGAAACTTTCTAAATTCAATGACCTAGTAGATACAGTAGGTATGACTGCTGAGGTTTTTAAACCATCAAAATATGTAAATTAAGTAGATGGGTTAGGTGTACACATATATATAAGCTTGCTTGTAATGACTACTCCTATGGGTATATTTACCCTACACTGTTGTACACTCACAATGCGAGTCGTCTTTTCCTAACAATCATGGAAGGACAAGAACCATACCTTCAACTAGCGCCATGTTCTATGGTGATACATTTTCAATATTCAAACATGTCGCTGTCTATACTTAATCAGCAATGACTTAATCTTTCTATGTAAACACGTTTGGAGAAAGAAAGGACAGCAATGTCTTACGTGAAATTATTCAGGAATAGTCGAGAGGAATTTAAAGACAATAAGTCCCCTTCCTCTGCGTAAGGTACAGCGATACAAGACATATTTCAGAAGGAACATGTAGAAGTGTGACCCTATCAGGAGACCTGCTGTAAGTGTCACCTATACGGCTGCAGGCGACACATGACACCGCGGCATAACACATTACGCCACACCACACAGTAGAAGTCAGAACAGCAGAGGTCAATACCATGTTAAAACTTCTCAGGCCCAAACATGTTTCTATATTAAACTGTAAGTACACTTGCCATCACAAAATAGCGTACCTATTTCACCCACGAATACTCAATATTCTGAGCTTCAAAGACTTGCCTCACTTCGGACTCCAACATTAAACTGAGATGAGAAGTTGATGTAACTGAAATATTGTTCACATTTGCGTCAAAAACACCCAACTGAAACTGTTCTTGAAATGGCCTGCATGTATTGACTACCATGTTCCTCTAACCACTGCCTTCGTCACGATATGGCTGAGATATTGCCGATGTGACGTTAAATATTAACTCACTCACTCTAACCACTTCCATGACATAGGTACTGTTGTTCAGAAACTCGGGAGTTTCACTGCACGCGAGGAGACAAACTTTCAGTCCCTCCTGTCAATCCTTATAAAGCGCATAATCTGGGCATAATTATAAGTTTTATATCACTGATGTTTTTGAGTGTAGGCTTCGGTTAAGCTTATTTTACAAGATGATTCCACCGTGTCGTCCAAACAGCGGTGTAAGGCTACAAGACGACTGGAGGAGCCGGTTGGACCCGCTCAGTCCCAGATCGTGTTGTGTAGCTCTGTGATATCACTTGAACCATCTATCACATTACAAACTGTCACAATTGGTCCTGAAGCAGGCCATGACATGCTTGCACTTCCTACTGGTCGGTGTTTCTTCAAACGGGAAAAGTGTCCGTTTTTTTTTAATAAGGGTTAATGACTGAATGTCGATAATATTTCAGCCATATATTGACGGGTCAGCTAAGTTTCTACAAAGTAGTTCAATGTATTAGTCTTACCTTTCTGTGACAATGGCGAACCCCACATCGAAAATCCCTCGTCATCATCTGCGACAGCTCCACATATGTTCAACATCAACACCGACAACAAAAGCAGCCTCATTTTGTTTGTTTCTTGTTTCTAGAAGAAGAAGCACCATGTTATGCTTTTTAAACAATATATAGTTCTTTGGCATGGTTTTTCTGGACAGTCAAGCAAATATTTGTGATTTTACAGACATTTATTTGAAGCATCTAGTTTCTTTTTACAAAGAAAAATAGTTTTGGAAAATATACGAACGTATTTCAATTTGTGTTTGTTCTTACCAATTGTTGTTCCTCCCCCTGTGCTTGCTTCCCCGAATAATTAAGGCAGATGGGATCCCCTGCTGTCGCGAAGACTTATATACACGGCACTCATGTAGGTATGACAGCACGGTCACGTGGTCTCACGTCATCAGTGCGTCGCGGAGCGGCTAGGCAACCCACCAGGCGAGCTGTGATTGGCGGTCACTCCTGTTCCATCTAAATACTAATCTTTTGTTTTGCTAAATATAATCATCAAATACCTTATGATCATCGCGAGACTTACGTCACAATGAAGGAAGGAAGATCCGGAAGTACATTATTTTATGTTCCATCGAATGACAGGTACACTTCAGTCGTGGGACGCTTTTTACGCCACAAGATTTACACAAAAAATAACCAAGCCCTATTTTTATCAAGTGCATATTGTTACTTACAATGTGATGCCAGACGTAGTAGTAGTAGTAGTAGTAGTAGTAGTAGCAAGTAGTAGTAGTAGTAGTAGTAGTAGTAGTAGTAGTAGTAGTAGTAGTAGTAGTAGTAGTAGTAGTAGTAGTAGAAGTAGTAGCAGTAGTAGTAGTAGTAGTAGTAGTTGTAGTAGTAGTAGTAGTAGTATCTGTATTTTATATCGTGACTACGACCACTAGAGAGGTGGCAGGAGTTCAGCTTTAAGTATGATTATGGAAAGTAGTTGAAGTACTATCCTTAAAATTATTTTTTCTATTATCATTAACACGATTATTATCCTAATCATTAATTGGAATGTTAAGTACGACTAGTTTTATAGAGTCACTGTGTCCACGCATAGTCGCACTGATCTGTGTGACGAAGTATGTTGAAACAAGCAGTACTGAACCTTACATTACGTTTACTGGTATGTTGTAAATATATCACATGCATATTCCTTTAATGACACATTCATAAGTTTGACATTCATCACAAGACAACCAGGATCAAGGAAATGTCAGTCTCCGTGCCTCACTAACCACACTCCCTCCGCTCCCGTCAACATTCTCACCATGTCTGTGTGCAACCTGTCACGTGGTACCGGGGCCACGATCTCCAAGCTGGCTTGGCAAGGAATCGGTTGGTTCCAGTTATGATACGTTAAGATCTTTACAGGAAAATTGACGTTTGAGACAGGATTCTTGCAGAGCATGGTTAACGAAGAAATCTGCAACTTTTAATAACTGACTTTCTGAATAAATTAAAATTATGTGCTCACGAATCCGGAGTGATGATGCCAGACCCTGCCTCGTCAGTGACATCCATTGCCCACACATGTAGAGACAAACTAGGCAATAGCTTCAGATACCGTATTTGTCCATGATCCTTCAGTTTCACAAATGTCCACAACATGTCTACAACAAAAGGTTTACTGAGGCCTTGAATGCTCTGTTCGACCAACATTAAGCAAAGGTGTACGGCGATATATGACAGCTTGGTGGTTAGAGAATGGTTGATTGTACTAAGAAGGCACACTCCTATCCCCATTCCCTAACTATGGCAAGATACCACTAATTATAAGAACGTTGTGACATATCCTCACCAAAGATGGCGCTACCGGAATATTGCTCCACATGAAGGGAATGTTGAAGCATGAAATATGAATTATGAAATAGATGAAGTTCACATGTTCTAGTCTATCTAGGGGAATGGGCTATTTGACGATTATTGAACAATATTAGTTTGTCAATATACGTTAATTTCAGTTAAACTGCTTGGCCAAATGCCTTGCGTCGATTTAGCCACACCGAGCACAAGCTGGCATCTATACATACACTTATTATGTGGAGCAAGCAATAGAGTCCTGTTGAAAGTAGAGACACATCATGTTTTACTGTTATCAGGCGATGCTGTTATATGTATTCATCTGATAAACCATGTAAAGTATAAACGGCTTAACTCCAAACATGTGGTTAAAGCTTTATTGGTTCAGAGTTGTTCTGTAAACATATTTGATATCTACATCACAGAATAAGGTTAGTTTAGGCCTATTTCAAATGGTAGTATTTTAAATAAGCAAACTAATGCTAAAAGATGTTCAGATAAACATTCAAATGTTTGAATTACAATCATGGAATACCATAAATAAATAATGTGTAAGTTAGTTATTGATAGTATAACATTTGTCATAAGTGTATGCACTTTATAGGGTGTATACATCTACAGTTATAGGAAGGAGGCAAATGTTGCTCCCTGGTGCCGCTGGGTACGCGAGTGTCTACGTTACTTCAGCTGCTATGTGTGAATGTTTCTTACTGAGACATCATGTGTCTGTTTGTGTAAGGTAATTGTGAAGACATTTTAATGAATCCATGCAACCTGTGTTATATATGTTATTCGAGATATATTTGTGATAAACTGTATAACTAATTGGTATTGTGTAGTTCTCGGAACGATTGTGATTTCTGTACAAGCTTGCAATTAATTGTTGTATATTTATGTCAAATGTTGCAGGGTGATTTGTTTTCCTGTCCTATACCGACGGTAGAATAGTTTTCCCCCTAACAGCATCGTGTGTTGAGAGCTGGCCACACATGTATAGGGCCATTAGGTTTCATTTAGGACTTGGTAAATATGCCCCGAATGTTGCAATCAGTGGGCTATGGGTTGAATAACGCCTTTTGTCAGACAATGGTGTAGACTTAAAAATATACAGAGCCGTGAAAAAATTAGTGTGTTTATAATTGGGCCGACAGGTTTGCTATGACTAGATGTAAAAGTTGGAATGGAAGGATACGAAAGAAGTTTCATGATATTGGTTTAGGTTATTTATTAAATGTTCCAAATATAATTGCAAAATCGTGTGTGTGTGACTATGTACAAAAGGTGTGCATGAATGACTTTGTTATAAATTGGAATCTAAGTTATATAAGGTAGAGGGGCAAAGTGGTCTTAACAAACTATGAGTTTATAAGTGTTTTAAACAAGATTAGAGAACAGAAGACTATATTTCAAGGAACCTGCCAAGTGTTTACAGTTGGCTCTTGCCAAGTTTAGGTGTTGTGTGGCCCCATTTAAAATTGAAACAGGTAGATATGAAGGCATCTCTGTACAAAGTAGAAATTGTTTCTAATGTAAAGATTGTGTAGAAGATGAGGTTGATGTCTTGTTTCACGGCATATCATATGACGATATAAGGAAAACCTTATTAATAAATGCATTGTTAAATCTAGATAGATTGTTTTTTAAAATATGCCTGGTATTGGTAAGTTTTGTTGTATGCTCCTTGATGCTAATGTGTGTATTTTAGTTGCCAAAATTGCTGTTTAATACTAACTCGTTGAAAGCATCTTTTATATGGCTCATATATAATGTTTACGGCATTTTACTGTTGTGGTATTATTTTATGATAACTTGTTTCTCATACTTCCTAGGAATGGTTCTGTACTAATATTTGATGTATACTAGCCACATAAAGAAACTGTGCATTGTCCAAATATTATCCCAGTTGATAAGTACGATAACAATGTCAAAGGTACATATAAACTTTAATGGAGGGATCATGAGACCATAACAAGTCGGGAGAATTTCAATTGAAAAGTCAATCACAATGACGTCACGAGTCCACAAGCGGGCCGTTGAGGAAGACGGCGTAGACGTCGATCCATCTCGTCCCAAGCATGCTCTATCGGGGAGAGATCCGGTGAATTTGCAGGCCAAGGCAGTAAGTCAACGTTGTGGTGTTGCAAGAAATCCATAGCAACCCTTGCCGTATGAGGGCGGGCATTGTCTTGTTGGAATGTTAACCGAGGGCCATGACGTTGCAGAAAAGGAATTGCCACAGGTCGAAGAATCTGATCCCTGTAGCCCACACCAGTTCGGTTGCCCTGAACAATCACCAAAGGAGTTCTTTGGCGTGCTGTTATTACACCCCAAATCATCACGGAACCACCACCAAAGCGATTCCTCTCCAAGACACAGGCCTGTGCATAACGTTCTCCCACGCGTCTATAGGCACGTTGACGTCCATCACTATGACTCATCTGTAAAAACAACATTTCTCCACCAAAACAAGGGTCTGCGGACATAATTTCGGCACCACATTCGGCGAGCTTGTCGATGACGTTGTGTCAGGATAGGCCGTATGGCGGGACGTCGTGGTCTGATCCCGTGATGACGTAAACGTTGTCGAACTGTGTTGGGGTGGATACGGCGAAGTCCTGGGATGGTTCGGGCAGTCATCACTGCAGTCTGAAACCTGTGGCGAAGATGGGTCACCCTTATCCATCTGTCCTGTCTTGGCGTTGTTACACGTGGACGTCCAGAACGTGGCCGATCGATGACGTCATTTGTGTTCTGGTAGCGTCTCACCAGTGCAGAAATGGTGTTCCGGTGGCAGTGGAAATGTGCAGCCACTTGTCGTTGAGACATTCCCCCACGGACCATCCCAATAGCCTCATGACGTTGTGCAGACGTGAGCCTTGGCATGCTATGCGTTTCAATAGCCGTTTAATTTTTTGAACGATCGCAGGGGCAGGGGTTGAGCTTTCAAAAGTGACAGTATTGTGTGGCATTCATTTGCTCTGTTTCTCTTTCCCGGAATGCGCGTGCAACAACGTATTGCACGTCTCAAGAACGAACCCACTGACGTCACGGAACGTGGCACGTGCATGCATGTTGGATGCATGTCACTAATCTCTGGGTTTAAATCCTTATGTGTCTACACAGGTTTGATAAATTTAGATTTTAATTTTTTGTATGCACAGTTTCTTTATGTGCCTAGTATATATGTATACTGTTGTTATTTCCATGTCTGTACAGACGTGAGACATTATTTAACTATTTTCTGTCTGTCTGTCTGTCTGTCTGTCTGTCTGTCTGTCTGTCTGTCTGTCTGTCTGTCTACGATCACTCTGGTCTGATAGTTAAACGCCATTAATCTAAAAAACGAATTGAAAACAAAGCATGTAATATCCAGTTGTCACCCTGTAAAACAAATCTGTTTCATGTGGAGCAGGACATGTAAACGTCATAGAGCAGTAGTCTTCGTGTGGTGCAGGACATGTAAACGTCATAGAGCATTAGTCTTCGTGTGGTGCAGGACATGTAAACGTCATAGAGCAGTAGTCTTCGTGTGGTGCAGGACATGTAAACGTCATTGAG